ATTATTATTATTATTATTATTATTATTATTATTATTATTATTTATTTCACAATACTATATTTATAACAATAATATCACAGTACACTTAGGGAGAAATCTGTTAAGACTCACTGAAATTACAGTCGCATAGCATGTCGGCTGCCCTAATTTTTAACATAATTATTTTTACAACACAGTTTCAAGATCTCTAGGAGCAGAGGTATTTACAAATGGTTCAAGTTAATATCCTTGTCTGAAGAAACCCTAATTAAATGCTGGCAAAATACCCACTTTTTAAAAGAAAACAGTAGAGACATATCTTTGGCAAGTAAATAGCTCCACCTAGTGTTCCAAAAAGGATTATTCTATATTCAGTGCTGATACATCTAGAGGAATATGGCATTACTTAACAATCTGCTGCCCCTTTACTTGGGAAGAAGTCCCACTTCATTTAGTGAGACTTACAGCTGGTATGCTGTGTATGGCATTTCACTGTAAAATCTGAACCCACAACCTTTGGACATGTTACTCTCTTGGCCATATATTTTCAAACTGAAGTGTTTACTTAAAATATTGAGTGATGATGGAAAAAATTAGTTGAATTATTTCTAGTTTTTTCTACAGTCATCCTCTGAAAAATGCTTAAGGAGAAGCCAATCTATTTTTAACTACAGAGAATAAAAGCATTATCAGCTGTTTCTTCATTGATGATACCCTTTTATTGATGGGTACCCTTTTGTTTAAATTATTCCTTTGCAGTTAAACATAATTATAAATAAAATTATTCCTTTATGCAGTTAAACATAATCTTTTCTTGGGGAGTTATGGACCACATCCAAGGCTGTTTACATCATGGAAATTTAAATAGAGATGTTAAGCAGTTTACAATCAATAGAGCTATACTTTAAAACACCTTTGGGGGGGAAAAAAGAGAGAAAGTCTGAAGAATGTTCATTACCCACTTTTATATACTAATTTATTTTATGCATGATTCAGATTTAAACTGCCCCAATAGAAAACTCACAAAAACCAAAAAGAATTGAGAGAATAGTTTTAAATTAGTCAGCTAGCAATACTTTACAACAGGTGATTTCAAATGCGGAGGGGCTGTGACCCACTCATATAATGAATTTGTGTGAATAAAACTGACAGACTGCACACTGCACTTTGACAGGGCTGCCATTATCTTTGTTCATCCAGGCAGAAAATGAGCACGGTCTGGCAGCAATCTGCAGAAAGCTAGCTCAGGAGCCTACCACTTAAAAGAAGAGAAAGGGAGGCATGTTCAAGTGGCTCAAGCAAACTTGGGGATGCAGAGTTGTTTAAACAAACGATCTTGGGCTACCAAAGGCCCCAGAAAGGTGAGTTTGACTAAACTGGCAAGGAACAAGTGTCTCTCTTAATAGTCAAGGACTATTTGTACTAATCTTCAGTTGTAGGTAGCAAGGGGAAGAGGTCCCCTGATTAAGCAGTGGAGCTATAAGATCGCTAGCTAGAGAAAAGCACTGGCGGTCCTTTGGCCAGCAGTTTTTTAAGAATGTTATGAGGGTGGGGGGGTGTTCAAGAGTGGGCTGGCTGATTTTTCCACAGAGGGAGCAGCCTTCCCACCTAGGGACATTCTAGAGCCCGGCAGTGCACAGCCCTTCCAATCCAGAAGATCTGGACAGTCACTCCCATAGATGCCAGATGGGAATTCCTAGGAGTCCATTTTTTCCTGCCCCAAAGGATGGCCATTCCCACCTCCATGACACTGCCATTCCATTTAACCTTGCAAAGAAGGTTTGGCAGCTGGAGCCCAAATAGCCAACCAGCTGCTCCAAAGAGCCTTCCAACACAATGCAACATGGTATAGACCTGGTTGGAAGCGTCATTCTCACTGTAGCAGCAGTCCAACTTCTCAGGGTAGGGAGCCCTGGAAAGCCTCAGTGGAACTCAGAAACAGATTGGCACTGGTGCAGAAATCATTGCATGTGCACAGAATCTGTTAAAGGAGAGCTCCTATTCCTGGATTGTAGCCTACAGACTAGTCTAGAATCAGTAACTCAGTGAGGCCTGTTCACATTCAGGTAGAACCAGGATAACTGTACCCCCCCCCATCGCGAATGTTGCTGGACTCCAATTCCATCACCTATGACCACTGACTTGGGGCAGATAAAAGTACAGCATCATTTGGAGACTGCACATTGTCTGCCTCTTCTATAAATGATGTTTTAGTATTATATACTTGAGCCTTGGGTTCCCATATTATTCTCCTGATCCCCATTCTCAGACACTGCCAGAAAAAGAAAACTGCAAGCTTTCTTATCTAATTTTAAACTAATCCTTCTGGACTTCTAGCTCCTGCTCAATGAGCAGACAGCAGCTGTGGAAAGGAAGGCCTAACAACTCCACCTGGTGTGCCAGTTGTGCCCTTTCCTAGACTTGGAGGCCCTTCAATCACTCATGTACTAGTCACCTCATACCTCAACTATTGCAATGTGCTCTACATGGAGTGCCCTTGAAGACCACTTGAAAACTTCAAATGGTCCAGAATACAGCAGCATGGGCAGTGATGGACATGTCTGTTGAGCTGTACTGGTTACCAGTATGCTTCTGGGGGCAATTCAAGGTGCTATTTATGATTTATAAAGCCCTATATGGTATAGGGCCTTGTTATCTGAGGGACCACCTATCTTATGTGGTGTCTGTTCAGCTGGAACAAGCTGAGAAGGCTGGTTCACTCTGGGTCCCTCCAATTAAACAGTGTCAACTATCAGGACCCAGGAAGCATGCCTACCTTCTAGAAAGAAGTTTCCCCCAGATATCCATGTGGCTCCCACTCTGGTGGCATTCCAGAGATCCTCAAAGAAATGACTGTTCTCCCAGGCCTTGGGGTAGGGTGGCAGGGGTTCCTGTTGGATACATTTGTAAGTGTGGGTGTTGTTAGCTGATCCTGCCATCTTATTCTTTATTTTTCTTATAATATTATTTATCTTGTACTTTCTACCTATTTGGTTTTATTGCCACCCAGTCAGAATGGAGTTGGGTGGTGCCTAAACTGAATGAATGAATGAATGAATGAATAATCCCTTTTCAAAAAATCTTTTTTAATAATAATTTTATTAGAATTTACATGTACAAAGATAAAAGACTAATACAAACTAAAGAAAATACAAAAAGTAAAGAAAAGAGAAAGAGTAATGTAAAGAGATAGAAAAAAGAAAAGGAAAAAGAAAAGAAAAAAAGGATACATAAAAGATGACTCCCTCCTCCCTCTGGACAAGTGTAAACAATTTCAGCAATTTATTTCAGTAATAAAAAGAAAGAAGATCTCTTCTTCCCATAATTAATCCATTATCAATAA